AGGGTGTGTGGCATATGCAAACAAGTTATGCTAATGAGCTCCTGCACCTCTTTTTCTACAAAATGACCCCTGGTTGAGACACTTTCCCCCTTGGAACATGATAATGGTGCTTAAAGGGCAATGTACTAGGGGAGCTGCGGTGGCTCAGGTGGTTAAGATGCTGAACTGCAGGCTGTGGAAGGTCGGGAGTTCAGGAGTTCAAGACCCGAGTGTGCCGCATGACGGAGTGAGCTCCCGTCTCTAGTTCCAGCTCCTGCCAGCCTCACAGTTCGAAAGCAAGAAATTGCAAGTAGATAAATAGGTACCACTTTGGTGGGAAGGTAACAGTGTTCCGTGTGCCTTGGTGTCTAGTCATGCCGGCCACATGACCACGGAAATGTCTTCGGACAGCGCTGGCTCTTCGGCTTTGAAACGGAGATGAGCACCGCAACCCTAGAGTCGGATTTGACTGGCTTTCGAGCAAGGGAACCTTTACCTTACTAGGGGAGGGGCTCTCACTCCGCGGAAAAGCCTTTGCTTTGAATGCAGAATGCACCAGCATCTCCAGTTAAAAGGATGAGTTAAGAGGTGAAGGGAAAGACCTCTGCCTGAGACCCTGGAGAGCCGCTGCCAGTCTGAGTAGACAATACTGACCTTGATGTAACAAGCATCTGATTCAGAACAAGACGGGTTACCGTGTGAGTCTGTCCGTAGCAGTAGAAAAGAGCAAGAGTCCTGGAGCACCTTAAAAGCTAACAACATTGGTGGCAGGGGAGGAGCTTTCATGGGTCAGGGCTCACTTCTTCAGGCATGACAGTTCGTACCTTGCCACAGATTTTGTTAGTCTTTCAGGTGCTCTTCTCTACTGATGAAGGCAGTTTCCTGCGTGTGCATGACAGCACTCTTTCAACATCAATCTCAAAAGGTATACGATGGGCAGAGAAAAAAACTCTACTATCAGATAAAAGGTTTCCAGCATAGCCAGATGGCCATCTGTCAGCACGGCTGATTCTGTGAACTGAGGCAGATCAGGAGAGGGAGGCTGCAGGGAGGGTTGCCTCAGTACTTAGTTCTCGTGGCCGCTTCTTACACACCCAGGGAAATGCCAATTACCACTTTGGGGCCAGGAAGCAATTTATCTCCAGGCCAGTTTGGCTGGAGATCCTGGAGGATTTTTTGTTTTTTGGTCATCTTCTGTGCATAGAACAGAGGCCACTGGAGGTGTGCATGGGGGGGCATTTGTGAATTTCTTGCATTGTGCAGGGGGTTGGACTAGATGACTCTGGAGGTCCCTTATTCAATGATGATGATGATGATGATAGTGCTGTTACAGTGTTGTGCCTTCTGTTGTGAATTGGAGCCCAACAAACTGTGGCAACAGAGTTCTTGGTCAGAGCACCACTGGACTGCACAGTTATTTGTAATGCTCATACCTTTTTTAGAAACATGAATAGCTCTGAGCTGAGGATTTTACATAGAACAGAAATGGGGGTGGGGAAAGGAGTCTAAACGCTGACAAATAGCTTGTCCTCTCTCAGGATAAGAAAAATAATTAAAGGCTCAAATTGGGTTGGAAACGGCTGCCGTGTTTCCCGGCGTCTGTTTGCGGGGCTAAGTGTGCTGCGCGTTGCCATTTGAGCGCCATTATCATGCCTCCGTGAACATTGCGGACTACTTAATTAGTTCAATAGACTACGCTGTGCAGGCAAAAAGTATTGGGAACTGGGAATTACTTTATTAATCTAGAATAAAAAACAAAGAGCAAAGAGCAAAACCGCAGACATAAGCCCGACACAATAATTTCTACCCTCTGCTTCCCTTAATTAACTTTCCAGTGCCCAGATGTACGTTGACCATTCACTATATAGGCAAGGAGGGGAATCCATGATACAGGCCATGTTTTATGGCATCTAACCAACCTGCATTATTAACAAAATGTCATTACTAAGTTTGCTGTTCAGTCCATCCCAAAGGCAAATAAAAAACAGGCTGACTACACAGATATATGAAAAACAGCTAGTTAAATATGTAAATCAGACACGAATCACATATCTACCCATTTCTCCCTATCCCAGGTACCAAAAGCCGGCTGGAATTGAGAAAGGCCTCATGAATAAGGACCTCAGTTCTTCCCATCCACATTTCTCCACAGATGTCAAGGTTCTGAATCACCCAGTCTTGTTCGCAGAGCCGCACTGATTGCAGAATCACAGAGTGGGGAGGGGCCATAAGGGCCATCTAGTCCAACCCCCCGCTCAATGCAGGACCAGCCTAGAGCAACCAGGATGGTGAGAGGGTTGGAATCCAAGTCTTACGAGGAAAGGCTGAAAGAGTTGGGTCTGTTTAGCCTGGGAAAGAGAAGGCTTAGAGGGGGGACATGATTGCAGTTTTCAGGTATTTGAAGGGCTGTCATGTAGAAAATGGAGCGGATCTATTCTCTTTTGCTCCGGATTGCAAGACTAGATCTATTGGGTGGAAATTACAAGGGAGTCGATACCAGCTAAATATCAGGAGAAACGTCCTAACTGTCAGAGTGGTTGAGCAGTGGAACAGTCTGCCTCGGAAGGTGGTGGATGCTCCTTCACTGGACGGTTTCAAGCGGAGGCTGGACGACCATCTTTCGGGTATGTTGTAGGGCTGTCTTTTGGCTCTGCTCCTGTTTGGTGCAGGGGGTTGGATTAGATCACCTGCAAGGTCCCTTCCAGCTCTAACATTCTATGATTCTATGATTCTATGACAAGTGTTTTTCCAGCTGGTGCTTGAAGACTGCCAGGGAGAGGGAGCTCACCACCTCCCTAGACAGCCAATTCCACTGCTCAACTATTCTTAATGTAATTTTTTTTTTCTGCCTGTAATTTAAACCAAGGATGCCATCATTCAGTTTTTTTGAGCTTAGCCCACTGCTGTTACCCTCTACAAGATCCCCCGTGAGTGACAGCTTAGGCGCTTTCACAGATGCCAAATAATGCAGTCTCGACCCACTTCAACAACTGTTTGCAAGTGGATTTTGCCAATCCACACAGCAAAATCCAGTTGCAAAGTGCATCGAAAGAGGATTGAAAGAGGATTGAAACTGCTGGGTCTGTCTGTGGCTGCCGTCACCCACACACACTAAACAATCCACTTTTCATCCACTTATCCTTCCTGAGTGAAGACAAAAATGAGTGAACCAGAGGCTAAAAGACTGTGAGCTGGCTCACACTAACTCAGCTTAGAGGGAACACTGGCTAGGATTGCCACCTTCCAGAGTAATTACAATCAATCTCCAGATGACAGAGATCAGTTTCCCCGAAGAAAATAGATGCTTGGGGGGGGGGGGCCGGGGGTCCTTCTCCCCCCCCCGCCCCCCCCCCCCCACCGAGGCAGGCTCAAGACAGCTTACATTAAGAGTTAAAATATTAAAATATTAAAACACCGATCCCTTTAAATGCTTTCGAAAATAAGCTGGGGCATGCGTTTGCCCACTCCCTAGTTCTTCTAAGCGCCATTGTTGTTTTTAAGACATTAAGAGTTAAAATATTAAAACACCGATCCCTTTAAATGCTTTTGAAAATAAGCTGGGGGCATGCGTGTGCCCACCCCCTA